TTAAACACTGACAGGGGGCCCTGTAATGACTTATGAGGTCATAAGGTAACTACTTTAGGCTTATCTTAGATCTGCCTATCTTTGGGTGGTCTGGTACTGCAGATGGAGAGTCTAGCTCAGCAGGCACCAGTGACAGTAGGCCCTGCTGTACCATCTCTGGATGGAGATGAGCTCACCCCCCTTGAGCCTGAGGGATTGGAAGATCTTTTCTTTCCCATGGAGAAGAAAGAGGAGAGAGAGGTGAGCGTAATCCCGTGCCTAGAACTCCAACTCTTCCCTTCTTGCTCTGGGGTGTTGAAGGTGAGTAGCAGTTCTGGGTTATGCCCCACTCCAACCCTACACAGAGACTGTACCCATCCCACCAGGATAATGGTTCTTCACGGAGATGGCTTGAGCCCAGCTACTGTTTGCACCTGGTGCCCTCCCTTCGTGGTAAGTCAGGCCCTGGAGGGGAGAGAGTTTACCCAAGTGGACTGAAGCTCTGTTAAATCTGGGCGCTTAGATACTCATTCAGCCCTGTCCCAGGTATACCCTAACCCCTCCCTGAGCCAGGCCGGAAAGAAAGCCGGAGTCAGCTCTTGTCAGAACGGTGTGAGACCTGAACAGAATAAGACTAAAATACCTTCTTCTCTGCCTCCCCCCCCCCCCACCTTTCCCTAACCCCAGGATGCGCATGCTTGGCGGCTGCTCGGAGCCGCGCACTCGGGGCCGCGCTCAGCACCACGGACAGCGGCGGCTGGGGGAGGGGCGGGCGGCGTAGCCGGGCCCCTCCCCGCGCCCTGGGCGGGTCCCCCGCCGCCCGCCCTAGCGCCTCCGCCACCTCCCCGGGTTCGACGCTCTGTGCTCTTCTGGTGCTTTCGCCTCAGGTGCTGCTGAGGAAGCAGAGTGGGACCCCGAGCTGGCAGCTCCGGGGGAAGATGCGGAGCCGCAGGCTGGGCCGTCCGCACGCGGCTCTCCAAGCCCCGCCGCCCCGGGGCCACCCGCTGGCCCGCTGCCTCGCATGGACCTGCCACCCGCCGGGCAACCCCTGCGCCATCCGACCCGGGCCCGGCCGCGGCCACGTCGCCAGCACCACCACCGCCCGCCGCCGGGGGGCCCCCAGGTAAAGTGCTTCCCTCCCCCCTCGCCCCGCTTAAGGGTCATGGGTGGTCCATTCACTCCTCACTTGCTACAGAAGACAGGGAGATAGATGGGTTGGGGAGGCCCAAGGCCATGCGATCGTGCCCTATCATCTTCCTGGTCACCCTCAACCTCAGGCCATGCCCATAACGGGCCACTGGTGTGATTTCCTGTGAGGAGCGCCTAGACTCCTGCCTTGGAGTGGTCTGCTGAATGCGTGGACGTGTGAGAGCGGGTGTCCGCCTTGTCCTCCCTCTCCTGGGGTTACTGAAAAATACTGGGCAGCTGGGCCGCGGAACACCCCTGCGTCTGCTGTGCACCAGCGGGTGGATGTGTGTGTGGGCTGGGTATTGGCAGGGGCAGTGGGCACCGGCAGAAGGAGAGGAGGAGCCGGCCTGAGGCCCCCTGAGGGTCTGACGCAGCAGCGGCGCCACTGAGCCGGGATGATAGGCCGGGTGGGGTGGGGTGGGGTGGAGGTGGAGGGTTAGGGTACTGCGCGCGGGGGGGGGGGGGGGCTGTTAGGAGTAGAAAGGGTGGCATACTGGAATGTGTGACCCGTAGGTGTTTGCTTAGTGATAGATAACCAGGTGGTTCAGGGTATAGCATCCTCTGTGTAACAAGAACGGGTGTGGACTGGGCGGGTGGACTGTGGCAGCAGTGAGGAATGAAACCCAGCACGGTACAGACAGCACCCCAGCTCTGGGATGTACTCAGGCCAGGTCCCTGGGAAGAAGTGGGGGTGGGGGAGAGCCACAGTTCTCGGTCCTGACTCCTAACTTCCCAATGTCTCCCAGGTGCCCCCAGCCCTGCTTCAAGAAGGGAATGGGCTCACCGCTCGTGTGGATGAGGGTGTGGAGGAATTCTTCTCCAAAAGGCTGATCCAGCAGGATCGCCTGTGAGTGAGGGTCACTTGCTGGGGGCGGAAGAGGGTGGGACATCCTTGAGTTTCTTCACTCACTGATGGTCGTTCCTACAGCTGGGCCCCAGAGGAGGATCCAGCCACTGAGGGTGGTGCCACTCCTGTCCCCCGCACACTTCGAAAGAAGCTGGGTACCCTATTTGCCTTTAAGAAACCTCGTTCAACAAGGGGTCCAAGATCTGACCTGGAGACCAGCCCTGGAGCAGCCCCTCGTGCCAGAAAAACCACACTCGGGGACCTGCTTCGACCACCAGCCCGTCCAGGCCGTGGTGAGGAGCCTGGAGCGGCAGAAGGGGGCACTAGCAGCCCTGACTCTGCTCGCAGAAATCGGCCTCGGTACACACGGGAAAGCAAGGCCTACTCCATGATACTGCTACCTGCCGAGGAGGAGGAAGCACCAGAGGGTGCCAGACCCGACAAGGTAAGGACTGATGTCAGGGGCTGAGGGCTCTTCGGGAATAGGAAGCAGTGGGCTCTCTCTCCACTCAGGCTTCTCTGCCCTCAGAGGCGGCCTCTGGAACGGGGAGACACGGAACTGACTCCGTCTTTTGAGCAGCGGGTTCAAGTGATGCTGCAGAGGATCGGCGTAAGCCGGGCCAGTGGGGGTGCCGAAAGCAAGAGGAAGCAAGTGAGTTGGGGTGTGTGAACTGAGGGGGCAGGTGGCATGTGGCAATCTGTGGATGACATATGTGACCAAGAAGGGGAAAACACATGGCACAAATCTAGTTGTCAGCTACACACTTCCCCCTAAAAATAGTCATTGGATTGATCTTTCTTACTTCTTGCTTCTGACCTAGCCCAGACAGGTACCTCCTAGGGTGTAGGGAACTTTCTCCCAAGATTAACAGAAATTTGACCTTGTTACCTGAAAACAGTCCTCCAGGGACTCTATCCAGATTCCTAATCCTGCGGCAAGATCTTATGGGACCTTGGTCCTGGCCACCTTAGACCTCCCTGCTCTCCTTTGGAACATCTCAGCACCTCACATGGCCATCGGTTTATACCCTGTCCCATGTCTGACTGTGTACTGGGTTACTCAGCTTTCTTTTCAGCTGTCCCTGCAGTTCCTTGTGAACCTTCCCTGGCTCCCTTTCATGGTCACCCTGATAATGTCATCCCAGTCATGGTCTTTATTATGAATCATACCCCTGTGTACCATCCATTTAGTTTTCCAGGAAAAACTCCTATGTAATGAGACCTAGCCTGAATTTAGAGACATTAAAGTATGGGCAGAATCACAGAAGAAATCCCATTATCTGCTGGGTGTAGTGGTAATCTCAGCCTTCAGGAAGCTGGGGCAGGAGGATTGCAAGGAAGACTAGCTTGAGCTGTACAGTGAGATTATCTACTTGTTGTGACTAACATGCACATTTTTGTGTGTCAACTCTGTCACACCAGACGGTAAGGTCAGAGGGCAGGGACTAGGTTTGCCATGTTCTGGCCATCCCACGGTATGCACTCTGTAGCTAGGTTTGAAGAACATAAATGAACAGAAACAGGCCAGAGTGAGGGCAGCAGGGCTGAGGACGTCTGACTGATTTGTTTCCTACAGAGCAAGGATGGCGAGATCAAGAAGGCAGGCTCAGACGGTAAGTCGGACCCTGGAACAAGGAAATGTACTTGGGGGTTGGTGGCCTTAGAGATAGTCCCTAAGGTACTTGCTCTCCTGGGGGAGGGACAGGCTGACTTTCCTCCTTTTACCACTAAGGTCTGGCACCTAAGCCTCTAGTCCTACCTTGCAGGTGACATTATGGACAGTTCCACAGAGACCCCTCCCATCTCAATCAAGTCCCGTACCCACTCTGTGTCTGCTGGTGAGTGAGGGCCACTGTATATGTTAAGGGAGGTACACGGATTGTGAGGCCGGGGATCAGATCACTGCTCAGAACTATCTCCAAGGCCAGGCTCAGGTGTTAGCTGACACTTGTTTCTCCACCCAGATCCCTCATGTAGGCCTGGGCCAGGGGGCCAGGGGCCTGAGTCTGCCACCTGGAAGACACTGGGACAGCAGCTGAATGCAGAGCTCAGAGGCCGTGGTTGGGGACAACAGGATGGTCCAGGGCCCCCCTCCCCATGTCCTAGCCCAAGTCCCCGAAGAACCAGCCCCTCCCCAGACATCCTGAGTCTCCCAGAGGACCCTTGCTTGGGCCCTCGGAATGAAGGTAGGTAGGCACCTCACTCCTAGGCTGGGACTGGCGGAGTGTCTGCTGGGAACTTGACTCATCTGGAAACACTAAAAGTGGGAGGCGAAGATGGGTGTGGGCAGCTACTGGGAACACACCCTGATATCTTGGCCTCCTCTAGATGGCCAGCTGAGGCCGAGGCCTCTCTCAGCAGGGCGGCGAGCGGTGTCTGTGCATGAGGACCAGCTCCAGACCCCTGCGGGTGAGGGAGACACCTCTGTCTGTGCTTGAGTGCAGGAGACGGGGGAGGGTGGGCTCCTGGACTTCCATCTTGGTTCTGGGCCTTGGACTCACCAGTGCTGTGAGTGCTGGAGCAATCAGGAACCCCAAAGGCCCAGTGTAGTCCAAGAGTGACAAGCCCTTCCTACTAGACCAGGCTCTACCTCCTGAAGATGACCTCTGCTGGGTGGGAGTAGCAGATGCATGTTTTTTCGGGCACTGAAGATGGAGAAGGGTTGGGGACAGCCAGACAGTGAGTTTTTCTGTGTCTTGTTTAGAACGGCCCCTTCGGCTGCAGCGCTCCCCTGTCCTCAAGCGCAGGCCGAAGCTCGAGGCACCCCTGTCCCCAAGCTTAGGTAAGAGTGGGCAAGTGCCAACTGGGAAGATGATAAGATTGCTCAGCACAAGCCTAGAACGTTCTCTCCATCTCTCCTTACAGGCTCTGGCCTCGGAACCAAGCCTCTTTCTCCATACCCAACAGAACCCTCCAGCCCTGAGCGGAGCCCTCCCTCCCCAGCCACAGACCAAAGAGGCGGCGGCCCCAATCCCTGATCCTGTCCTCTCCTGCCGCATGAAATTATTTTATTAAAAAACTTGAATGAAACAGGGTATCGAATACTGTTTGTCCGTAGACCTGTGGGTACATCCTCTGATATGTCCAGGTGACTCCTCATACCTGCGTTAACTCAGACTGACTCCATCACCAAGTTCAAGGCCCAAGCTACAAGCTGAGGAGAAAGCCTGGAAAGAAAGCATGGCCTTAGGTCAGGGTTATCTAAGACCGGTGATCAACACAGATGAGACAGCCCCAAGCACTCACCTGGCAGTTTGGACTTGGGCATGGAGGGAGGCAGAGGGTGTCTCATATTCATACTGGAAAGCAGAAGCATCAAGATGCCTCTTTGGGGGTTCCTGAAAGGGGTGTAGCATCTAGACAGAGTCCAGTAAAGACCCCTAATGCAATCTAAGCCTACCCTTAGCCCTCTCCAAGCTCCCAAGGCCCGCCCACATCTTCCCTTCCAGCTGCAGTGCTCACCCAGACAGAGCAGGGTCCCTGGGCTCCCTTGGCTCTGGTTCTTGGGAAAAGCTGCTGTTTCTTGATGGGCCATTGGGGCTCCCTGATCTCCAGGCCATGAGCCTGGGCTCTGGTCACATGGGCCTGGGGTGGACTGGGGGCACGGCCAGGGGGCAAGAGACTAGGGGTACAGGTCAGGAGTTGGGAGCTGGGTTTAGAACTGTGGGGTGGGGAACTGGGAGCCTGAGGTATTAAGGAGGATGAGCAAACAGCTGGTGGAGACTGGGAGCTGTCCTTCTGCCCGGGGTCTGATACAGCCAAGTCTGACAGAAGGCTAACACTGGCATCATTTTCCTCCGATGGCATGTGACTGAGTGAAGCAGGGGTTCCTGGGGAGAGAAGACTGAGTGTGAGCTCAGGACGGCTGAGTACCTATAAACCAGCATACAACATTTCACATCATTCTACACAATCCACTAATCTGACTGACAGTCCTGAGTGCTTATGGCTTGAACCTACAGAACTGGCTGAAGAACAAAGACAGGTCCCTGGAGAGAATCATCAATGCCATGGTGGGCCCTGGGCTCCAAAGACTCCCCTTTTTGACATCTCCAGTTCGCCTTACCCTGTGCCTTCTGACTTGAGCCAACAGAACTCAGAATCTGCTCATCATTCTCAGAGATGTGCAGCAACAAGCCAGAGACCGTGAACACGGCTTCTTCCTGTGGGACGTGAAACCTCAGCATGGCAGCTGCCCAACCCTCACCCTGAAGCCTCCCAAGAAAAGTCCCACACTGACCGTGGCCTGGAAGCAAGAGGCAGTCCAGTGGGTGAGGGGGGTGGCTGTGCAAGGGCCTGATAGCATCAGGCAGCTCTCAGCTAGACGCACCAGTGCCCCCCGATGATTCTGATCCTCCTCCACCTCCTCCAGAAGCTGAGTCAGTGTTAGGCCTGGGCTCAGAGATTTGAAGTTGAAACAAGGAGGACAGTTAAGGTATTATACTTACTGAGGAGACACAAGATGATAGCAGAAGGGCCTCCACGGGGAGGTAGGTAGGGTACCTGCACTGGAAGAAGCAGACTCTGAAAGGTGGTCCCTAGAGAAACAGTTAACACTTATCAGGAACAACCCTGATACCAGTCTACCCAGCTCTGCCACCCCTGACCATACCACACTCAGCCTCAGAGCCCAACCCCAGACTCACTCAAGGCATTCACAGAGTTTTCTCTGCACGTCCGGATCCTGATTGCTGGGAGAAAGAGGAGGGTGGTAGGGAGTCAGTGTGACTGACACCCAAGCCTTCTCACCCAAAGACCTACGCCAGGGAGAGTGAAGAGGCAGAGGGTGGAAGCTTCATCTCCTGTTTTGTTTTGGGGGGAGGAATATGGGGAGACTTGGAATGAACCACTCAGGACCTCAGGCATGCTAAGCCTGTGCTCTGCTACTGAGCTAAGCTACATCCCCTTTCCTTGGAGGGATCACTTACCAACCAATCACCTGTACCCGGGGCTGCTCCGTGGGCAGCAGGTCAAAGCGGTCCACCTGGAGGTAGAACTCCGAAGGCTGGTGGAGTTGAGGAGTGGTGTCTCAGGAGTTGTCACAAAGAGCCCGGCACAGTAACCAACCGCCCGCTTGGGTCTTACCACTCACCGCACGCTCCTGAGCAACCTGAACGCGGACCCCGCAGGCCTGCAGCCGCAGGAGCCGGCCCTCTGACCCACGGAATCCGAACTCCTTCTCCTCCCTGCGACAAGCACAGCCCTCACTGGCCAGAACCCAGGCCAACAGCCCAGACGCCTGGGGTATGAGCTTCCCGCCTCTCCAGCACCCACCCACCTCGGGTTCAACCTCGCGCGCTCCCACCTTCCACAGACAAGTAGCACCTCTCTTACCACTCGGAGGTGTCGATGGCATTGCGCGTCACCAGGCATCGGATACTGTGGGTTCCGTCTGACACAAGCAACTCGGCCCCGGAGTCAGGTGTGTCAGGGGCGGAAGATGGGCCCGGAGTCTCCGAGTCCTGCAGTACCTAACAGTAGTGGCTAGTGTCAACTCACTACCTCAGCCTCCACTCGGGTCTCTGGAATCTGAGTGGCCCGCTCACCTTGAGTAGCTGCCCGGCTCGTGGACTTGACAGTGTTTCTGAGCCCAGGATCAGCTCTCGAATCCAGGGCTGCAGGATCAGACTCCTCGAGCGCGACATTAGCGCGGCGGCACCCCAGGAGAACCCTGGACAGGGTCTTCCCGCAAGCGCCGCCGCTCAGTCTACCGCGGGAGAGGAAGCACGTGACCGCTAGGCGGAGCCTAAGTTTGAGGCCCCGCCTATTCGCGCTTCTGCGCCTGCGCAAACACTTCCTGGGCTATAACGTGTGTAGTCTATGGCTGACTGGCCTGGCAGCTGGCGGTAGGCTGCTTGTTCTTACCGAAGCATCTTCCTGAGCCTGTGACCTGTTCCTCAGTACTACCTAGCACCGGAAAGGAAATAGCAAGGGCTGGCCTGGATAGGAGCGATCCAGGTTAGGAGGCTGCAGCCGAGAATGGGGCTCGAAGCCACTTCGGCGCGACCCCAGGAGGTTCCCAAAATGTTGACTTAGTCTCCTCTGCAAAATGCGCGTCTTGTAAGGCCTGTGGAAGCGACAGTACAGACAACTTATGCTATTTTCCTCATTCTGCCCCCGGATTGGTCGAGTCCTCATAGGGACGCTCGAACCATAGCGTAATGACGTAAGAGCAGAGGAAGCCCTAACCACCTCCGTCTCCGTTTCCTAGGAAACGTAGACTCCGCGTTTCCCTGTGTCGCGTCCCCCTTGACGTCATGGTTCGGGTGGGAGGGCGGGGCGAGTGCTACCGCCAGGGGCGGGGCGGCGCGGACCAGCGGGCAGGGCTGTGCACCTGCGCCTCGGCGGCGGCGGCGGCGGGCAGCCTAGGGGCACTGTCCCCGGCCCGCCTGGTCCCGCAATGGCCAGGCCGCAGAGGACTCCGGCGCGCAGTCCCGATAGCATCGTCGAGGTGAAGAGCAAAGTAAGGTCTCCTCCGGCTTCGGCTCTGGACACTGCGCTAGACGCTCCCAATTCCCTTTCTCTCCCTCACTGGCTCCTTGGTCTCCATCACCTCTTTCTGTCCTCCATCCTCCGCATCCTATTCTGCTTTTCTGTCTGCCTCCCCTCATCGCATTTTCCTTCCCACTGTGGATCTCCAGAGTCCCTCTGTGGCCTGGGTATGTAGGAAAAGACCTTGGACAGTGTCCCTTGTATTGGAACTGAGGTTTAAGCTTAAGGCTGCAGCGCTTGCAGCAGCCCTTTCCCCCACTTGACAGCTTCAGACCTGGAGTGAGAAAGGGGCTTGGGCTCCGTCCTGACACTCCTCTCCCCTTCCCCTCCCGCTTCCAGTTTGACGCCGAGTTCCGACGTTTTGCGCTGCCCCGCGCTTCGGTGAGAGGCTTCCAGGAGTTCTCGCGGTTGCTGTGTGTGGTACACCAGATCTCTGGCCTGGATGTGCTGCTTGGCTATACGGATGCTCACGGCGACTTGCTGCCCCTCACCAACGATGACAGTTTGCACCGGGCCCTGGCCAGCGGGCCCCCGCCGCTGCGCCTATTGGTGCAGAAGCGGGGTGAGGATGGGGTACAGTGGGCAATTTCCTTGGGGCAGGGTGACAGGCAGGGCATGTCTACTAGGTTTAGTCCAAACCCAGGGTTCCTAGACTTCACCTTCTGCAGTCTCTGCCCTTGGTCTGACCTCCAAGTGGTAGGAAACAGTTGACATTGTCACTGTCAGGGGCCAAAATGGGAGAGCAGTCTCTAATCCCAGTTCCCCCTTCTCCTGCAGCAGAAGGTGACTCCAGCGGCCTGGCTTTTGCCTCCAACTCTCTGCAGAGGCGCAAGAAAGGGCTCCTGCTTCGACCAGCAGCACCTCTGCGCACCCGACCGCCCTTGTTAATCAGCCTGCCCCAAGATTTCCGCCAGGTGTCTTCAGTCATAGACGTGGACCTACTACCTGAGACGCATCGACGTGTGAGGCTCCACAAACATGGCTCAGACCGTCCCCTGGGCTTCTACATTCGAGATGGCATGAGTGTTCGGGTGGCTCCCCAGGGCCTGGAGCGGGTTCCAGGAATCTTCATCTCCCGCCTGGTACGTGGGGGCCTGGCTGAGAGTACAGGGCTGCTGGCAGTCAGTGACGAGATCCTCGAGGTCAATGGCATTGAGGTGGCTGGGAAGACCTTGGACCAAGTGACGGACATGATGGTTGCCAACAGCCATAATCTCATTGTCACTGTCAAGCCTGCCAACCAGCGTAATAACGTGGTACGAGGGGCATCTGGGCGTCTGACAGGGCCTTCCTCTGTAGGGCCTGGGCCTACTGAGCCTGACAGTGACGATGACAGCAGTGATCTGGTCCTTGAGAATCGCCACCCTCCCTGTTCTAATGGGCTGTCTCAGGGGCCCCTATGCTGGGACCTGCAACCTGGCTGCTTACTTCCTGGTGCTGGCAGCTCTCTGCCCTCCTTGGATAGCCAAGAGCAAGCCAACTCTGACTGGGAGAATGGCATGCGAGGTGATGTTAGTGGATTCAGCCTCTGACAGGCAAAGATGCAGCCCTTGTCACTTTAGGCTGCTGGAACGTGGCATGGACTTTCCGGTTGGGGAGGGAAGAGTAGCTTGCTCACAGAGCCCTCTCAGCCCAGTGAACATTAAAGGTTTTCTACAAATGTAGATGTGGTCCTTCTGTGTCCCAAGCCCCAACCTCTTCTTCCCTGGACATGAGGCAGGAGGAATAAGGGGTCAGCAGAGACCTTCCTAGAACTGTGCAGCAGGAGGTCCATTAAGCTTGGCATTTCTAAAAAGATCCCATGGAAACAGCTGTATACAAAACGTTTAATTTGACATAGGTGTTGGAAGGCTGGGTGGCCCTTCTGCAGCTACTGGTGACTAGGAAGTACTTTAGAGAAACTGCCCACCCCAATGCCCTTGTCTTTGGAACTATGACAGGGCTTGAGTTTGCCCTTTGTAGCCATGTGGTGATCCTCAGCATGGATCTCCCTGTCACTCTACCCACAAAGGCAGGGCTTAGGTATCCATCTTCACAAAGACTTTGGGTCGGGAAAAGATCTTGACAGCCTCTTCTATTTGCACCAACTTCCGGTCCAGTTCAGCACGGTGGCCCTGCGCTCTCAGAGAGTCTGCCCCAGCAGGTAGCAGTACCAGCTCACGTAGCAGCTTGCTCTGGCCTGCAAGGGGACATGGAAACAGTGAATGCTGGGTAGGGGTGCATGGTGCCCATGGGCTCCCTTTCCGCCACCTCTGCCCAAGCCCTCACTCTGGAGCAGATTGTTCAGTGTCTCTAGCCTCTGATTCTCAGGCATGAGTACGTGGCCAGGGGGCATGGCAGGGTCTGGCTGGCTGTGCTGGCGGGCTTCAGCCTCCCTCCGCCACAGATCTCTGCGCTCCAACAAGCTGTGAATGCACAAGTCCAGGGCTGATGACACCAAGGCAGACTGGTTCCCACCCCCACAAAGGTCCCTAACCATGCTTGTCAGCACATGGACCTACTACTGGGGCACGTGGCCTTTCTGTGTGGCATTGTAGTGCTCCTGGGCTTGTTGCTGTTGTTCCAGAACTTGTGCGAGGACCTGCAGTGAGCGGGAACGGCGCCTGGGGGCTCTCTTGGCAGCTCGGGCATTGTGACTAATGAAATCCACACCTAGGCCTGGCCCCTGCAGGGACATGGCAAGCACGGTGGAGACCCTGTAGTACTGTGTTGTACCTCTGTACCCCACCCCCAGGACGGCTGGCCATCGGCCTCTCTGTCCCCACAGATCCTCTCACCTTAGCTTTGGGACCTGGCAGGATGAGCTGAGGACTGGAGACACGGGATGGTGGGAGCCCAGGGCCACAGCGGGAGTGTGCCCGAAGGAAGTGGGCAGGCTCTGTCACAGAGGCAGGGCCAGGCTCCTGGAAGGTAGGACACAGCAGAGGAATCAGGGTGGATGAAGACAGGGTCCTAAGCCATAAGACCATTCCCTTTTCTATCCCTCCTTTCTCTAAGTACTTTTCTGTGCTCATCTCCATGGACCTCCCTCCTCTTTGAAGGAACACATCTCAACATTTAAATATGTTTGTCTCTTAAAGCTTTAGGAAAACCATCTATTTTGCTGTCTACATTCATCCTCATTTAGCTACCATCCTTTTCTCCATTCTTTCTATCTATCTATCTATCTATCTATCTATCTATCTATCTATCTATCTATGGTTTTTCAGGACAGGGTTTCTCTGTGTAGCCCTGGCTGTCCTGGAACTCGTTCTGTAGACCAGGCTGGCCTTGAATTCATAGAGATCTGCCTGCCTCTACCTTCCAAGTACTGGGATTAAAGGTGTATACCACCACCACCACCTGGCTCCTTGCTCGTTCTTAACCAAGGTTTCCGGCTCTAGCACCCCAAAGTTACTGAGTGTTGCCTCAAAACCAAGAGCTGCTTCCTTAGACCCACCGTCCTCAATTTAATCGTCAATAACACTCTGGCCTCACTGCTGAGATCCAGAGCTATGTATCCATCTGCTTCCTGGACACAGTCCTACCCCCTGGCAGTCCCACAGATGCTTCAGCCTGAATACAATCTCATGTGACCTTGTCTGTTCTCTCAGTCCTGTGTCTCTTTCAGGGTCCCTGAATAGAGCAATGGTAACTACCACCAAAACCTAACCCTAGTCCTCCTCTGTCCTCAGAAACCGATGTTTCAAGGAATAGTGGTGCATGCTTAATAGTCCCAGGACTCTGGAGGCTGAGGTAGAGGGATTGACAGTTTGAGGCCAGTCTAGGTTAATCATGGACAGCCTGAGACTAAACAACAAACTATGGTCTCAGAAAGAAATGAGCTGGGTGTGGTGGTCCAAATCTATTATCTCAACTCCTGGGAGGCTAAGGCAGGAAGCCTGTTAAAAGTTCAAGGCCAGCCTGGGCTACATAATGAGTTTGAGGCTAGACTGGGCTACATAGTAAGACCCTGTCTCAAAAGAAAGTAGTGGGGTTAGGGGCTAGAGAAATGGCGCAGCAGTTAAGAGCACTGGATGCTGTTCCAGGAGATCCGATGCCTTCTTCTGGCCTCTGTGGTACACAGACTTGCAGGCAAAACATCCATCCATACACATAAAAAAATTTTAAGCCAGGCAGTGGTGGCACATGCCTTTAATCCCAGCACTTGGTAGGCAGAGTGGCAGGTGGATCTCAGTGAGTTTGAGGCCAGCCTGGTCTACAGAGTGAGTTCCAGGACAGCCAGGACTAGACAGAGAAACCCTGTCTTGAAAAACCAAAAAAAAAAAAAAAAAAAAAAAATTAAATCTAAAAAAATTGATTAAAGGAAAAGTAGTGTGGTAGTATACACCTTTAATTCTAGTACTTGGGAGATGGAGAAAGGAGATTCAGGAGTTCAAAGGTCAGCTTTATCTCATGTACACAGAGTTTGACAAGGTCAGCCTAGGCTACATGAAACAGAGACAGAGACAGAGAAATTGAGAATTAATTAGTAGGAAGGCTAGGGGTATAACTTATCGAGTGGTACAGTGTATGCCTAGGGTGCAGAAGTCCCTAGATTCAATCTCCAACACCTCAAATAAATAATGTTGACAAGTAGATTTTGTTGTTTTTTTTTTTTTCTAAGACAGGGTTTCACTGTGTAGCTCTGACTGTTCTGGAACTCGATCTCTAGACCAGGCTGGCCTCAAACTCGAGATCTGCCTGCCTCTGCCTCCCAAGTGCTGGGATCAAAGGCATGCACCACAATGCCTGGCTAAGTAGTTCTTCCAGATACGTGTCCAGCTGGCTTTCAGCTCTAACCTTCTACAAATTGAATTATACCTACTATCCCCATTGCCCTGATCCCAGGACTTCTGAGGTTTCAGCTCTCCTCCTAGCCTAATTCTTACTAACCCTGAAGCCATCAGTTCCTCAGAGAGGTCCACCCCAGATGTCTTAGCCTTTACCATCCCCACACACACTCAGTAAGTTAGATCAGGTGTATAACTGTCTGTTGGCCAAGATGGACAATATGTCTGGCTCCCAGGGAAAGATACCTTCATCCTGGCCTTGACTCGAGACTCCACATTGTCATACTTGGGTGAGCGCCACAGTGCCTTCAAGGGCTTAGGCTGGCTCTGCTCCCGGCTGCGTTCTTGATCTTGGAAGCGCCTCTGAATCTCTCTGATCCGCCTCAGGTTTTCCTTCTCATGGTATTTTGGATCCTTCCCTGAGGAAAAACTGTTGCTAGGGACAGCCCTACAAATGGCCATGCAACTTAGACCAGACCACACATAGGCTCACATTGTACCCTTTACAGAAATTTCTCCCAGACAATCTGGTATATGAGAGGCCCTGGGCTCAATCTCCAATATCACACACACACACACACACACACACACACACACACAATTTAAATACAACCAAGACCTCTCCATGTATGTTAGACTCCATACACACAGCAGGATCATCACCTTATTCTCTTCTTACACAGTATTCCTCCTGGTTATCTTCTACATTCTGATAGTGAAATATACCATTAATCACCTTGTCCTGTCTTGTTTATTGCCTCCAATTGTAACGTCCATACTTTTTATGTCTGTTTTCCTAACACCTACAGAGCTTGGCACAAAGTAAGCTAAGTAAACAATGTTCCATCAAGGTGTGAATGCTTGAAGCTAGGACTTCCTACATAAGGATGAACTCTGATCCTGTCAGGAGGTCGTGCATTTCAGCTTCCTTTTGTGCTAGGAAAACTAAGACCCCGAAAAAAGTACATTGATTACCTGGGCTCAAGGCAATTAAGAAGCATCCTATTTTAATCTCTACTTTTGACCTCCGAATGCCTCCATAGTCCTTCTGGCAAGAACTTACTCTTAGGAGAGACCCCTGAACCAAGGGAGATGCCCCCCAGTTGCAGCAGCACGTCCCCCACGCCTCGCTGGCCACGCTCTAGGATCTCTCGGGCTCCAGGCCTGATGCGGGGACCACGAGGAGGACTGGAGTCCAGGTCGCGACCTGAAGTCAGCAGGTCCAGCTTCAGCGCGTTTCCTTCCAGGCGCCCTTGGGCTGAGGAGCAGGACGCGGTGGAAAGTCGTGCTCAGTGATGGGGCGTGGTACTCGCCCCGCCGCAGGACCCTGCAACTCACCCGAGGCCGGCCGCCGGTAGTAGTCCGGGCAGAGTGTAGGGTCTGGGGGGATGGGTCCAGAGATGCGGGACGGGCCCTCGCACATGATCCTATCGCCGCCCTGCAACCGTGCACCGTAGCCTGCTGCGCGGCGCAACTCGGGCCCCCAATCCCTGTCGGGTACTTCCACCCTCGACCCGAGCCCTGCAGCCCCGCCGTACCCCCCATTCCCGACCCCCACCCCCTGTCTCCCGCCTGGCCCCTAGGCTTAGCCAGCGCCACCGCCCCGCGACCAAGATCCTAGCCTACTTCCCTGAGGGGTTCGCGACCCCTCCCCCGCAATGCCCCAGCGGGGGCTCTCACTAGAGCAGTTTTACCGCCAACTGTTGCAAGCCGGTAGGAGTTGCTGTTGCTTGGCAACAAATGGCTTCCTGAGGTCAGGGGTCAAATGACTTCGGCGAAAAGCCTTCTGGGGTTTGTAGTTCCAGACGAGCTATTTTAAGTTTTAGGTCTCAGCAGGATCCTCACCTCCCAGCAGGTCTCCCCTGATAACACTGAGTACACCAGGCCAACCTTCCCCCGAGCCCACCGTCTTCTCCTAGCAACCGTCAAGGAATGCACTGATTCCGCACAGCCATGGCCTCAGCAGGGGCCAAGAGGCAACCAGAAGCCCAGAATGGGGCGGCAGTAGGATTAGCCCAGGTTGCAGACATCCCTGAGGTGACTCAGGCATTTTCGAAGCTCGGGAGGTGGAGCGGTAGGGCAGGAGAGGCGGGACTCTAGGTGACCCAACCCCCTAACTGCCCGGCCAAGCCCTGCAAGTAGAGGGGCCTGAGCTGGTAGCCTTCATGTCAAATTTTGTGGCCAATACTGGACGATGAATGACTGATCCCTACAATACTTTGCCTGGCCATTGGCTACTACGCGTATCTTCCAGTGTCCAGGACCAGGAGATAAGAGTCTGGTGCCCGCTCATGAGACCTGCAGAACCCCGGGTGAAAACAAATGGTCAGTGGGACACAGCTTCGAGCCGGAACCCCAGGATGAAGGAATAAACCGGGGAGAGGAAGGGCTCAATCCAGGGGTGGAAGCAGGAGAGGAGAGAGGACCCAAGCCCACATCAACCATCGTGAGGCCCAGCCATGGGCCCAAGAGAAAGCCTATCAAGTGAGGAGGCTTTCAGAGGGATGGGGAGGGGAGTCTTACCCCGAGATTCCTAAATCCTGATTCCTCCGAGGCAGGTATCTTTGTCTTCTGCTACTACCCCTCACTCCCAACTAGAAACTTCTGTTTCTCTAGAACAGGAGTCTAAGAGGAAAGAGAGGGCGAACAAAAAAGATTTGGCGCTTTCAGATTTTGTAGTCTTGTAGGAGACTGTGTTGTCGTGAGTGCTGGGTCTCTATTGGTCTTGGGAGTTTCACTGACCAGGAAAAGGGCAGCTAACTAGCCCTGGGGTTGGTGGGCAGGCAGGGCTAGACACAGGAACCAGAGACTGAAGCCTACCTCTTTCAGCCTTGTCCCAGGCTTGGGTACCCCAGCCCTCCCGGGGCCGAGCTACCATGCCCATCCTAGGGCTGAAGCTGAACTGCCACCAGGGATGCCGCTGCAGAAGGAGGAGCCGGAGGGAAGCCACAGCGAGTCTTCACTGTCTGCTAAACAGCACAAAAAAGCCAAGAAACGCAAGAGTGTAGGGGCTCCTGTGCCCCCCGCTGTAGCCAGCACATCCGCACCCACAGAGACGCTGGGGCTGGAGCGTGAGTGACAACCCCTAGGGTTACCTTCTTTCCTCTTCTGGGTCTGACAGGCTCCACCGGGCGCTCCAGCCTTTACCTGCCTTGGGTTCTTGCAGGCAAAGTCCAGCGCCTGCGGCCACTGTACCAATATATCAACTATTGCAACCCTGAGCTGAATCAGGCAGGGGACGGGGACAGAGAGCCAGAGGTGGAGCCTGAGTCGGAGTTGGCCCTGGCTCCTGAGGAGCCAGGTGTGGAGCAGCTGCAGTTGCAGGCCTTGCTGCCCGTGGCAGGTGAGCTGGGCCTAGGCCTTGCTTTGCCCTGCCCTAACACGCTGGTCCCACTCACTCATTCCCTTCCTTCTCTAGGACAGGAGGTCGGAGAGGACCCTGGGGGGTTGTCTAGTCTAAGGGTGATTGGCAGCCTCAAGGCTGAGGTGGATAAGACAACCCAAGTGGACATTGACAAGATGCTGAGTGTCTGTGCGGCTCCTCTCGTGCCCCCACTCTCCCCTCAGTACAAGTGACCATCTACCCCCTGAGAATGTCTCTCCTCTACGCCTGAACTAGGGCTGTACACTCAGGCCTAGGCTATCAGGTGGAGGAAGGAATTTAGTCTTTGTCTGTACTTGGGAATTCGGGCTCACTGAAAATAAACATTTCCCCTTTTAAAGATTGATTCCTCAAATGTGACGCCTAAACTGGGGGAAAGTCTGGGGAGAAGGGAGGAGAGGATTCACTCATGCAGAGATCAACTGGAATCTTGACGAATGTGTCAGAGTGGATGAGGCTGTTGTGTGACGAAACTTTTCCTGGGGAGACACAACACTCACATCTGCTCCCCCCAGACAGGGAGCCCAGGACGGCCCAAAGTACAGACACCAGCAAAGTCCAACTTGGTGAACCAATGAGTTTTATTGGGGTCACTCACAGGAGCAGAAATGACTCAAAGATACCCGCATCACCAAAGCCCACCCCAGCATGGGGGCCAGCTCACAAAGCTGGGAACCTGGAGCCCACTGCACAGCCTGGAGGCAGCTCAGCAGGTTGGAGAGTGTTCCTTCGAGGTGCCTTAGATGCTCAGCAAGTTTCGACTTTTTCCAGGCCTCTGGTCTAGTCTGAAAGTCAGCTCAGCTTCCTTCCTCCTGAGCTGGACTCTCAGTTTTTATTGCTTACTCAGGCAGGGAGGGGCCTGGTGAATCTGGTCAATTTCAGGAACTTCCTGAAGCTATTTTGAGTTGTTTACCTTTTTGTTTAAGGAGCCTCCTCCAGGACAGAATGTTCTGATCTCAGAGGAAACTGTTATACAGCAGAGGTAGGTAGGCATGGTGTCTGCCTGAGGGTCAGAGAGGCTAATGGTAGGAGGTGAAGGAGAGGAATTTGGGGCAGAGGAAAGAGAGGGTTAGGAACCAGTGTTTGATCCTATTGCCTGTCTCTTGAAGAAGGGCCTGCATTTGTCCTGACTTCAAGGGAGTCAAGTCTGGGATCTCCCTCTGAGGTGGCAAGTTCATTTGTCTGTCCCAAGACTGGCACTTTTAGAAAGTTTACTACTAACCAGGTGTGGCGATGCACACCTGTGGCTAGTAAGCGGGGCTTAGGCCTTGCTGTGCCCTTGGGTTTGGTAAGTAGAGGCAGGCAGATAATGAATTCAAGGCCAGGATATACTACATGAGACCCTATCTTTTAAAAAAGGAAAGGAGCCGGGAGGTGGTGGTGCACACCTTTAATCCCAGCACTCAGGAGGCAGAGGCAAGGGAATCTCTGAGTCTGAGGCCAGCCTGGTCTACAGAGTGAGTTCCAGAAGCCAGGGCTAGACAGAGGGACCCTGTCTCTAAAAGCCAAAAAAAGAAAGAGAGAGAGAGAAAGGCTGGAGAGATGGCTCTTGGTAAAAGCACTTGCTGCTTTTGCAGAGGACCCAGGTTCAATTCCCAGCACCCACGCAGCACCTTATGTCTAACTCCTGACCCAGGGGATCTGACACCCTCTTCTGGCCTCTGCCTGTACTAGATACACACTATAGTGTACAGACATACATGCAGGCAGAGCACTCATGTGTATTAAATACTTCTAGAAAATACTCTCTACTCATTGTCATAGAGCAACCAGACTATAGTTTGCCCACAGATGGTCCCTGGTACTGGGTGGTGGCGACAGTGAATGAATTTCTTGGAGCTGTAAGGCCCCCTCACTGGATGACTGCTGCCTCTGGTCCTGTAGACAGCTCTAAGGAGAGCAGATGAGTGAGGGATGTTGTGGAGACAAGGCTGCTGGTCTTCCTGGGTGCCCTTCAAGCACTTCAGACATGGGGTTTCCACACGAAATGCCTTTCTTCCTGTATCAAGCTAAGATCCTGGTGTCACTTCTGACTCTGTTCCTACAAGTGAATCTATCCTCTAAATTGTAAGGTCAGAACGAGGGCCTGGGCCTCAGACATCTCCAGGTAGGAGCCTCAAAGTGCCCCCTGCCTGTGGTCTCTGGTCTTACAGATACATGCAGTAATCCTACTGCACATACACCTGCATGCTCATGATGTCACTGTCACTCCAGGGTCTTGCTCGTCTTACCTTTGAAACTTAATGGCTGTGTGTAAGTCCCTGTTCAACCGTGGCTATGTGTAAGTCCCTGATCAACTGTGGCTGTGTGTAAGTCCCTGATCAGCCAGGCCTTTTAATGCTTTCATTCTGCACATGGGGCTTTCTCTAGGATGTCTTTGTTCCTTCATCCTTCTACCTGGCAAGTGCATACATACCACACACCACATATATACATGCATACATACATACCACACACACCATATACATACATGCATACATACATACCACACACACCCTCTTTCTGCTGAGTCAGGAAGCATCAATGTTGTTCTGAATTTGTAGCATTTTTATACTGTGAATTGTATATCTCCATTAGACTGTGCACCCCTAGATCACACATCATTGGGTCACACCTACCTAGGGGTTCCCATCAAAGGCCTCAGGAAGGAGGCTACAGAGATGACAGGTATGAAACAGAACAGTTACCAAAAAAAAAAAAAAAAAAAAAAAAAAAAAAGCTGGGCAGTGGTGGCCTTTAATCCCAGCACTTGGGAGGCAGAGCCAGGCGGATCTCTGTGAGTTCGAGGCCAGCCTGGACTACCAAGTGAGTTCCAGAAAAGGCGCAAAGCTACACAGAGAAACCCTGTCTTAGCAGGGTGCATGATGGGAGCCAGAGGAACAAACCACTGCTGTGCTCACGCTCATGTAGGGGCACAGATGGTGAGGTGATTGTCACTTTACCCTGGGGACAAGTGATGCCAACACAGCTGTTCCTGGAGGAAAGCCCTTCAGGCCCGAGATAAGCCAGGGACACGCTGTCCTGGTGTGGGAGATGTCAACAGGAAGGCTGCTCAGTGTAGCAGAAGCAGAGGACATGGCGAGCAGGGATGCATGCTGCACAAGCGTGAAGGTGATGAGGAAGAGCGTAAACAAGAGTCTTAGCCACGAGAAAGGAGGAGTTCAGTGTCAAGAAAGAGTTAGGTCTACTACAGCCTAAAGAAGGGAAGAGAGTTCAATGGCAGGAAGGAGCTGAGCCCTGCTGAAGCCTAGCCTACAGATAAAACACATTGTCTCTTGAAATTTTACTTATTCTTTATGCCAAGAACTGTATCTTAGTTGCCTTGAGAAACAGTTCCCAAAGAACTGCCTTGTCCTGCTATTTCTATAAACTTGCTTGGCTATATTTTTTTGGGAGGGGGGTTGTTGTTGTTTCAAGACAGTTTCTCTGTAACAGCCCTGGCCATCCTAGAACTCACACTGTAGACCAGGCTGGCCTCAAACTCAGAGATCTGCCTGCTTCTGCCTCCCAAGTGCTTAAAATTAAGAAAAATGGATTGTTAGAAGTCTGTAATCATGCAAACTAAAATGTAAATCCCACCAATCAGGAAAACGCTCAAAGGTAGCACTATACATACAGCCAATAGAAACTGTATTAGGCCGGGCGGTGGTGGCGCACGCCTTTAATCCCAGCACTCGGGAGGCAGAGCCAGGCGGATCTCTGTGAGTTCGAGGCCAGCCTGGTCTCCAAAGCAAGTTCCAGGAAAGGCGCAAAGCTACACAGAGAAACCCTGTCTCGAAAAACCAAAAAAAAAAAAAAGAAAGAAACTGTATGAGACAACAGATCGGGGTCTGACCACTCTGAGGATTAGCTTGAGTTATCAGCAGCTGATACAATAAAGTTGAGTTCTCCATCTCTCCAAGTGCAGATGGTGGTGTCTGGGGTGGGGGGGTCTGCTCCTCTCACAGCCTGAAATTGTGGGCAATTTATGAAGCAAAGAACAAGAATTGGTGAGATGGTCAGGGCAGCAGGAAGCGGCCGTCATATCTGGGTGAGTTCAAGGCCCAGACTTTCTTGAAGGCCGATGACTTAGCAGGGATTCTGGAAGTTCTCATCTGGTTGGGGTATCAAAGCGGAAAACTAACTCAGAAGAAACTTTTACCTGAAAGTATAGCGCTGGGAGATGCTGTTGCCTTCTTCCAGGAGGGGGCGCTGCAGGACAGGCCTAGAACTAGTTAGGTTCCGTCATCCCTGGGCTCTCTCAGCCACAGGCATCAGGGTTTACTGCTTAAATTACCCCATTCCCCGTGACTGCAAGTTCTTGTGCCGGAGAGATGGAAAGATGTCAGGAGTCCGGGAGGTGCCTTCAAAGCCTGCGTCTTTTTGTTTGTTTGTTTTCGAGACTGGGTTTCTCTGTAGTTTTGGTGCCTGTCCTGCATCTCCCTTTGTAGACCAGGCTGGCCTTCAACTCACAGAGATCCGCCTGGCTCTGCCTCCTGAGTGCTGGGATTAAAGGCATGCACCACCACCGCCTGGCAAGCTTGGGTCTTCTAAAAGTAGTCCTGCCTCATGCCCACTCGATACTTGCCCCAGTACTGGGAGTTTTACCTCCAAACACAAAGTTCTCTAACCTAAGCCCCACTCTGGGCTAGCAAAAAGGCTCTTTCACAAGTACATCTTCAGTCTTAGGTGGCACCCTGGCATCTTTTTGTTTTTGTTTTTTTTCATGACAAGGTTTTTCTGTGTACCATTTTTGGCTCTCTTGGAACTTGCTTTGTAGACCAGGCTGGCCTCAAATTCACAGAGATCCACCTGCCTCTGCCTCCCGAGTGCTGGGATTAAAGGTGTGCGCCACCACTGCCTGACTAGGACCATGGCATCTCATAAGTAAGACACACAGGGACAGCTGGAGCTGAGTGGAGTGTTCTGGAGACAGGGCTGTCTCCTGTTACCTCCTACCTGAGGGTGGGCACTGTGCAGCGCCTTCCCAGTTCAGGCCAAGCTGAATCCTGCTGCAGAGGAGACAACGCCTGGCTGTCTGAGAGAAGATTCCCACGTGCTGGAATAAGGTGGTTTAAGGTCAGGAGCTGGAGTCCTCACCAAGGAACTGCCTCTCTGTGCCTTCTAGTCTAAATAATGGGCATGGATTTTATTCTGAGAAAGGTTCTTGCTTTGTAGTTCTGACTGACTAGAATTCTCTATGTAGACCAGGCTGGCCTTGAACTTACAGCAACCTCATGCCTCTGTCTCCCAAATGCTGGGATTATAGATGTACAGCACCATGCCCAGCTCTAATGGACATATTCACAGCACCTTTCAGAATGGCTTAGAGATGAAATGATCTGCATGAGTGGTTTACTCTGGGGGACCAGAACACCAACAGCACTCCAACCTTATTTTACTTCATAAGGACAATGCTTGAAAATCAGGACACGGCAGGGAAATAGGCCTGGTGATTCCCACAAGTGATGCCAAGAGGAAGAGGAAGGCCTCCCCAGGCCTTTTGGGCAAGGAGCCCAGGATTTGAAGGAGGAAGACTGGATAAGGAATAGAGTTCACAGAGGCTTCACAATCCAGCAGACTGACAAAGAAAACCAAGGGGCAGATTTGTCCTTCAAGACCCCACCCAGCTCAGACTGTCCCTGTCTGCAACAGCTAGTTAATGAACATGGCCGTGACTAGCCAGCCGACTCAAGTGGTTGAACCTGCTCCTGCTCCAGAGTGGCTCAGGCCCCTTCCTCCTTATGGTCCTCCCCAAGGGCTTTCCAGGAGCCACATGTGGCTTCAAGAACAGAACCCTGGGGCTGGAGATGGCTCAGCAGTTGAAACTGCTTACTGCTCTTACAGAGGACCCAAGTTCAGTTCCCAGCATCCGCATCAGGTAGCTCACTACTTCTTGCTCCAGGAAATATGATGCCATCTTCTGGCCTCTTTGAGTATCTGCACTCATGTGTACACACACAGAGAGAGACACACAACATACACATAAATAAATAACCCAAAAAAACAGAAAAAAACAAAAACAAAAACTTTCCGTGACCTCCAGCCAAAGGTTCCCAGGCTCTCCTCCTATCTTCTTGAAATGGCAAGGTTGGCAGCAGCCTAATAGGAAGCCTCACACCCTGTCTACTAAGGATATTTGGAGAACTTCTGGGACTCAGCCACGAGTTGAGCCATTAGCTCGAGCTGCTATGTAGTCCATGAGAAAGGGGACAACTAATGGACAGCAAAAAGCAAGCGTTCCATGATTAAGGAAACCCAGCCCCAAACAAACGGCCACACACCACGAGGTCACGTTTTTTCCGACTTATTTACTGACATTTCCCAGATGTTCTACAGTTGCCCTTTGTCTCCTCTCTGCCAAGTCAGGGGCTCTCCTCCCTATGTATAATTCAGAAATCTCCTTTTCTGTGGGAAGGGCCTGCCAGGGGGCTGAAAGGGTCTGATCACACGGGAGGGTGGGCGAAGACCCCTAAGGGATGTCCTCACCAGTCCTGAGGTGCCCCAGTCCAATATGGGCAAGGCTTCTTGCCGTCTCCCCTTAGGACTCAACCAAGCTGGTTCCTTTTGTTGGGCTTTCTCATCCTGTCAGACCACAAGTCAGGCTGAACAGCCCACAGATTGATCTTTCAACTGGCCCTGCTCACTGGTAGAAGCACAAGGGGCCGGGCCACAGCCCTATCCTGCATACACTGCTGCCTTGCAAGTCTGAGGAGTCGATACGGACAGATGGGCTTTTTTCCGGGCCACCTTCAATCGGCTCCTAGCCCTGGCCCAAGCTGATTTATTAAAAGACACTGTCTCTGCTATAGCCAATCACAGTTCCCAGTCCCCTCCCTGGTCCCGCTGCCCGGTGGGAGGAAGAGCATGTGTAGGCTCACAGATTGTTCCGCTGAAGTGCTTCACACAGGTTCTGGTTGGCATCTGGCTCCTCTGTCAGCATCTCCACAGGCTCCCATTCCCCAGATCGGCTCGACCTTTTAATGGCATCCACCACGCTCTGCATATATAGTCCATCCTCAAATGAGGCAGCCATAGAGACTGGGGTGCGGTCCCAGGTGCGGCGATCCCCCTGGCCCTGGAAGGACTGGCGCAAGGCCTGCACCATATAGACCATCCCTTTCAAGTAGAGCAGTGGGACATCCTGGAGACCCTGCTCGGGGAGCCCTGCACCCACAGCCAGCGAGTCCCTCACCAGCAGCTCCTCCTGTGCGGCAGAGTTCTTCTGCCCGTAGAGGTCAGCTCCCCGGGCCACAAGGCGTCCCGCTGAGCCCACAACCATGACTTCATGGACAAAGGCGCCTGGCATGTTGAAGTTGAGTGTCACTGTGCCGCACACCCCCCCACCCATGAGCATCTGGAAAAAACAGAAGTCATCGCTGGTGACGTGCCGGATGCCTCGGATGCTGGCATTCTGCCTCACGAAGGTCTTGAGGAGCCCGTGCACCTTCTCGGCTTTCCGGCCAGTCAAGTGGGTCAACAGGTCCACAATATAGGTACCCATGGTATGCAGGCCCCCACCACCCATCAGCTCATCACATATCCAGCCGTAGCTGGGGCTGAGAAGGCTCCCGGAGTAGATGCGGGCATCGCAGATCATCACCGCACCCACGTAGTGCTCTGCAATCAGTTGCTTCATGCGTACAAAAGCAGGCAAGAAGCGCAGCACGTTCCCCACCAGGCTCATCAGCTGTGGGTAGTAGCGAGATGCTGTCACCATCCGGAAGGCATCTACTGATGTTGCTGCCTTCTCACATACCACATTCTTCCCAATCCCTAGGAATAAAAGACAATGGGAAATCTTCAAAGTTTCACAAGATTTGCCTCGTAGGGAGAAAAATAATCTTTTTTTTTTTTTTCCTTCCTGAGACAAGTTTCTCTATGTAGCTTTGACTGTCTGGAACTCATTCTGTAGACCAGGCTGGCCTCCAACTCAAAGATCTGCCTGCCTCTGTCTCCCAGGTGCTGGGATTAATGGTGTGCACCACCACAACACAATTTTACTTCTCAAGCCTGACAAGGTACAATATACCTGTGATCTCAGCATTTGGACGGATGGGTGGGATGGAGACAGGAAGATCTGGAGTTTGAGGCCAGCCTGGATTACATAAGATTCAGTCTGTGAGTGCACGCACATACATACATACATACATACATACATACATACACACACACCCCTACACACCTCCAAGGCAGATAGCCCAGGAATGTCTCCTATAGAAACAGGTGATCTGGAATGGAGGGAGGAGACTCAGAACATACTGAAAAGGTCTCAGTGACTGGAGGAGTAAGATCTTTCATAGAGTGGTGGAGGGCTCTGGGGATGGCCAGGACCAAGGGAGGCTTCACAGGGGAGTTACTGGGGTTAAGGGAGCAGGGGCAAAGGGCAAGCAGAGGGGGTGGGGGTATGACATATGCCAAGACTTTAAGGCAGAGAAGGGCCAAGAGTTACAATTGCTAACATCCACAGAACCAGAGTTCATGTGGTATTTAAAGTCATATGGGAAAGCACACAGACAACAGGCATCACTCACTCCCAACACATTCAAGGTGAGATCCACAATGGGGCTCCGGAGAATCCCTTGTTCAAATCTTCCCCAGTGGCCGGGCGGTGGTGGCGCATGCCTTTAATCCCAGTACTCAGAAGGCAGAGCCAGGCGGTTCTCTGAGTTCAAGGCCAACCTGGTCTACAGAATGAGTTCCAGGAAAGGCGCCAAAGCTACACAGAGAAACCCTGTCTCGAAAAAATAAAAACAAACAAAGCAAAACAAAACCAAAACAAAACAAATCTTCCCCATCTAGGTTTCCTGAGCCAAAAATCACTGGAGGCACTCATACATGCCACCTTTAAAAAGATTTTGTGTCTGTGTAGTGTATGAACGTGTTTGTTTGTATGTGTGCATGTGTCTGTGCAGTTGGCCATACAATGTGTGCATATGGAGGACAGAGCCAAAATCACTTTCCACTTTTTTTTTTTTTTTGATACATGGTCTATGTAGCCACAGCTGGCCTTGAACTCACTATGCAGATCACACTGACCTCGAACTCACAGAGATCCTCCTGCCCCTGCCTCCTGAGTGCTGAGATTAAAAGTATACACCATACAAAGCCACTTTATTTTTTGAGACATTCTCTCACTGAACCTGGATTTGCTACACTGGCTGGCCAGAAATTTGCTACTCTGCCTTGCCGCCTCTGGGATTTCTGGCATACGCTGCTATACCCTCTTTATGTGGGTGCTGGAGATCCCAGCTCAGGTCCCCACAAGTACTTTGCTAACTGAGCTAAGTACTTGGTTACTATGCCCTTCATATCCCACTTTCTTCTTTGCTTTCTTTCTTTTTTTCCTTTTTTGAGACAGGGTTTTCTCTGTTTAACAGCTCTGGTTGTCCTGGAACTCACTCTGTAGCCCAGGCTGGCCTTGAACTCAAGAGTGCTGGGATTAAAGGTGTGCACCACCACACCAAGCCACATCTCACTTTCAATACATCCTGTGGATTTGGTCTTTAAGCTGCATGCAGAATCAAATCCAGCTCGAACTGCCACTTTTCTCATCCAGGTTATTACTGGTTTGTTTTGTCAGGATTATAACAGTCATTTCTTGGAAGATAAGACAAGAAGATTAAGAGTTCAAGGCCAGGCTCAGCTACATAGCTAGTTTGAGGCCATATCTCAAAAAACCACTCCCCCACTCCCCAAAGTCTCTTAGTTGGTCTCTGCCTCTGCCAGTTTTCTCACAGCATAGTAGTCAGAATTCTGTGCAAACTTGTTTTAGTTTGCATCTTGACATTCTCCAGAGGCCCACGTGTTAAAGGTTTGATCCCCAACACTTGGTACTATTGAGAACGGAAACCTTTGGAAGGAAGGCAGGCCACTGAGGTTGGGCCTCTGAATGGGACCCTGAGTTCCTGGCCTTCCTGCTCTTTCTCTTTGCTCCTAAGCTGGATGGGGTGGCTCACACCTGCAATCACAGCAACTGGAGGTTGAAACAGGAGGATTATGAGCTTGAGGCTGGCCAAGGCTACACAGTGAGAGCCTGTTTCAACCCACACATAGAGCAATCTTGTTTCAACATGCTCTTTCTTTCCCTTACTCTTCTCTCACAGGGGTCCAGAGGTGGCAAAGCTACTAGCCTGGCTAAATGGCTAAACCCTCCAGCAAAGCAGACCTCCCTTTAAACTCACAGAGCTCCTCTTGCCGCCGCCGCCAAGTGCTGGGATTGGTGTGCGCCACTCGCCCGGCTAACCTGCCCTCCTTTTAAGTTGTGTATCTCAAGTATTTTGTCCCGGTGATGGAAATCTAACATAACATAAAACTTAAAATGCAGACTACTTCTCCCAAAACCTTCCAATGGATTCATCTCTCATTCAGAATAAAAGTCAAAGTCCTGGCACCAGGCATGGCAGCATCTGCCGATAATCCAGCACTTGGGAGGTGGAGACTTGAGGACTGTGAGTTGGAGGCCAGCCTGGACTACACCAAAAGGCTTTGTCTCGAAGAATTAGGTTTGGTGAGATGGCTCAGTGGGCTTGGGGGAAGTCCGACTATGCAAGTCTGATGACTGGAGTTCAACCCCCAGATTCTACAGTAGAAAAAACTGACTCCAGAGCCCCCCACCATGTCCTCTGTGATACATGCACATCTGCATTCACACACACACATATATATGACAATTTTTGTCTGGTTGCTTGTTTTTTTTTTTTTTTGGTTTTTCGAGACAGGGTTTCTCTGTGTAGTTTTGCGCCTTTCCTGGGACTCACTTGGTAGCCCAAGCTGGCCTCTAACTCACAGAGATCCGCCTGGCTCTGCCTCCCGAGTGCTGGGATTAAAGGCGTGCGCCACCACCGCCCGGCTTGTTTGCTTGTTTTTTGAGACAGGGTTTCTCTGTGTAGCTTTGCGCCTTTCCTGGATCTCTCGCTCTGTAGCCCAGGCTGGCCTCGAACTCACAAAGATCCACCTGCCTCTGCCTCCCAAGTGCTGGGATTAAAGGCATGCACCATCACCGCCCGGCTAATTTTTGTCTGTTTTTGAGACAGGGTTTCTCTGTGTAGCACTACCTGTCCTGGAACTCAATCTGTAGACCAGGCTAGCCTTGAACTCACAGAGATCATCTGTCTTTGCCTCCCTAGTGCTGGGATCAAAGGCGTGCACCACCATGCCAGGCTGATAATAATAAATTCTAAAAGTAAAAACTTGCCTGGCCTATACATTCAATTTCAGCCTGGAAAGATCCAGTCTCAAAATAAAAGTAAAAGAGGACTAAGACCAGCTCTTGCCCAGCACGCTTGCGGCCCTAGGGTCAACCCCAGGCACTAAAAAAGCACACAATTCTATTAGCTCTTTCTCCTGACCACAGTCCCTCCTCTGCTCAGCCTGTACTAGCCGCTGACTGGAGATGGTGCGGGTCTGCTCAAGAGCCTGGCAGTTAGGCAGAGGCAGTGATTATTAGTACCAAGGAAGCTGACAGGCAGAACTGGATAACCATCAAAGTAAGGGAAATCTTGAGAGGGACTACACTCCGTAGACCAGACTGGCCTTGAACTCAGAGATCTGCCTGCCTCGGCCCAGCTATATTCCTGCTTCTTATGGAAGATCATCTTTTATCTGTACTAACCTGGCTCCACAGGTACTGCCTGCCTGGTTGGAGGGGCAGCCCCCAAACCCCGATGGCCCTCTCCTGGGTCCTCACTCCTTCAGTCCCTGCATGCTTTCAGATGGGACACGGGTGGGATGCAGATGACGTCCGGTGGCTCACTCCGGGGCAGACTGTCCTCATGGGTGGATTCTGTTCCCACAGGCTCAGCAGGGAAACTCATCTAGCCATCTTTCTCCACAAACACTGGTTACCATAAAT